GACGGCCAGCAGCTACACGACATGTCGGCCGCTTCGATACGAAAGAAGGCTACGGAGGTTGGGGCAAAGGTCGACGCCGTCGAAACTGCTCACCGCTCACCAATATCGCAGTCGAAAACGACGTCGAGCCTGGTGAATTCCCAGAAGCCTGATTTAAATAAGTATCCCGACCCAGAAAACTCTGATGAAAATTAATTGAAAAAAAAGGAGGTCTTTAGAGAGATATGAGGCTGATCGATCAGCCACTGTTTATATTATTTTCTTAATTTCTAGCTCTCTTTTTTTTCTTTTTTCTTTTGAGTTTTTATATTTATATATTTATATTCATGATCTTAGTTGATCATCACTAAGCTAGTCTACGTGTGAAATAAGTGAAAATATAGAGAAAATAGAGAGACGAGTAAGGTATTTTTGGGTCTGTTCAGAGAACAGAATCAAAAGGGTTCTGTTTGATTGGTATAGTTTCTCTCTCTCTTCAATTGTAACATCAACAACAAACCAGCTGAAGAGCAAAAGTTCTTAGTTACTGGTCATCAAGGATGACAAGGAGTTCAAATTCATTTCAGTATTTGCTTTCTTGAATTTTTCCACTCTTGATTTTTATGGTTTGCGCAATCAAGTTATTTTGATATGTTATCTTACCCATAAGACAACGTGGTGTTACTGTCTTTTGATATGTCCTCTTACCCAGTAGACAACGTGGTGTTACTGTCACACGCCATAATTTTTCGTTCTCATTTGGGTTTAGAGAAGAAATTTGTTAGGTGTGGATACGGTGGCTAGGCCTAGAAGGGTCATTGGCTTGATGCTAGCGCAGCTTGCTTTGCTAGGGCAATTGGGGTTTGGGGCCCCCCCCAAATTTTACCAAGAGAAACAAAACAGAGAGAAAGAAAGCAACATTGGTGTGGCCTACGTTTGGTTACAGTACTGGTACGATCTTGTTGAGTTGCCAAACAAAAAACACAAGTAGATAAGGAGATAAGGAGGAGTTGGGGCACCAAGAAGAAGAGCTGCTTGGTGATGACGTGCTTGTGGTGTGAAGTATGATGAAGGAGAAAGCAAGATGGTCCTCCTCAATCAAATAGGTTGTCCCTGTCATTAGACTCACACACTCCATATTTTGGTGGAAGCTTACGACACTGTTTTTTTTTTTTCCCTGATGATGATGATGGATGATGGACGGTGGACGGTGAGCCCTTTCTTTTTTTCTTGTTTTGTATTAGGGGTGATTAATGAATAATTAGTAATATATTAATCTTGGGCTGTGGTCTGTATGGAGACCAAATTAAAACCGAGTTTATGATACGTGTGGGACGATTCTATTTTCTCTTTTGGTGCCAAAATCTGCGGCTGCCCAACTGTCTTGTAATCAAAATTTGACTTTGTCTCTTTGTTTTAATTTCTTATTGGAATAAAATTGATCTACGGTATTTATGGATCTTGCAGGGCTTGTTATAGTTTCCCTTCATCTTGATTATAAATCTGCTTAGATTGTCGATTAAATCGTACTTACAATATTAAACCTTAAATATAAATCTCATGAAGCGTATGACTTCCAAGAAATCTTCGTAACCTTCAACATTCTTTCTTTGTAGTTAACATATGACTTATTAAAATCAAAGTTCACTAGTTTTTTAATCCACAGATGCTTTTATGGCTAATTATCCATTGGCGGTGGGATGTCTTAGTCAAAAGATTTGACAGAAATATTACTATCAAAAGTTCATGAGCTCTAAACTAGCGTAATTTTCGCTTCAAGTAACCCGATGAAGTGGTGGGGAAATTTTCATATTATGTCGTCGAATTCTCAATCTAAATTATTGATTAGATGAATTATTGTCTTAACACGTAATGTTAGATTGGCGGGGCATGTAAAATTACCGAAAAATTAGTTCCTGCAAGAATATTTTTAAACTGGTAATGCCAAGTTCTGCTTAAACCTGATTATATATAGTATGTCTTTAAGCCTATGTCTTTTATAATATCTTATCTTTCCTTCTCCATTCGAAATGCCTCACCACATAACTTGACTTTATAGAAAAGGAGCATTTCGGTGGCGTGTGTAGCCAGATGACAGGGTCTCCTTTACAGATAAACATGCACTTTTTGATTCATAAAACCACATTTCTATATAGAAAAGCTCAGTTTGCTTCTCAATCAAAACAACACCACTGTGTCCAAAACAAATATCTTTAAAACCATGACAGAATGATTTAAGAATATCTTCAAACCCTAATCACTCTGGAATTTCTGGTTTATTAACTCAAGACATGAACCTTGCTTCACAAGTAAAAGCCAAACCCAATCGAATCCCAAAGATATTGAGATCTTTTGTTAGATGAAGTACTTCAGCTATGTGGCAAAAAGAAGATGGTGCTTTCCCACCAACAAAGGCTAAGACTAAGAGAGGATCATATAATTTTTATTTTTATTTTTATTTTTATTTTTTTTGGGTAACAAAGAGGGCTAAGAGGATCATATAATAATATTCATTTGGCCTTCAACAAGTCTAGACTTGTCCGAAGTCCAAACAAAAGCTCACAGCCTTATGTCCAATCCAATCCAAGGATTAAGTGATTGAGAGATAAGTGTGTTTCCTATCTGTGGTGTTGGATATCATTTTTAACTGTCACAAGGAAAAGTGAAAAAGAAAGCTGCAAGTTGCAATTTATTCAAAAATGTTGCAGTCAAAATATAGCCTCCTCATCACCTGAAATATACAAAGGGCCAGTTTTTGAGCATTGACTCTTTTTTTTATTTATTTAAATAAAATGTCACAGCAACCCATTCCTCACAATAATGCAAGCTACCAAGCTACAAGACAGAAGTTAAGAAGCAGCAGAAAGATCTGAATACAGAAAATGACCCCCAAGAGAGTGACAGAAACTTAGTGCCAAACCTTGAACACACTAGAACTCGAAAGAATCAGCATATGCCTGTTCCTATCAACTTCTCCTTAACATCCAAGGCAATCAATACACAACAAACTGACAAAACCAAGTATAAGGACACACCATCTGTTTTGAGGTATTTTCATCTTCAAGATTTCATGGTGG